GGGTGGGGGGGTGCCCACCGGGATGCTGCCGTAGCCAGCGGCTGCGGCGTGCCTTCAAACAGAAATAATAAACGTTTAGGTGTGTTTGGGCTTTACTCGTGCTTGAAAGGCGAAATAAGACGTTGTTCTATAAGTAAAGTATTAGAAAAAACGTCCTTGTTAATTGATAAAATACATTCGGGGGGTGGGGGTGGGGGGAAAGACATTCTGAGTCTAACCGTCTTAGATCAGAAATAAAAACAGCTAGAGGGGGAGGAAAAAAGAAGGAGCATCCCCATCTAACTTCTTGTACGTCATTTGCCACCGAAGTACCAACTTTGTTTAAAAAGCCTCTAAAAGGAAATCCCATCTGTTGCTGAAGGGCACAGACCATCAGTAACTGCCCTTTCCAGGCCCGTGCCGAAATTGCGCTGAACTGGACTGGCAAACCCCACCTGAAATCTAGGAATTGCCGTATTCCCGGTGAGCAGAGGCCTTCTGCCGTGGCTCGGTGGAAATTCACTGACTAAAATGGGATCTGCTTCGCTGTCGTACCGCATGACTCCTATTTGACTTTGCCTTTTTGGAAGGGTTGGGGTTGGGGGTTGGTGTGGTTTTGGTTTTTTTTCTTTTTAAGAGGCACCACAGAGAGAGCACTTGACTGAAGCACACTGCAGCATCCTCCGGTTCGTCGCTGGAGACTTTTTATGCTGTAGTTGGACCAAGCAGGCGCTCCAGCCCAGGCAAGGACGGGAGACGTGTTGGCAGCGAGCTCCATGCTCCGCATACCCCTGTGCAGAGGATTATCCTCCAAATTGTTCGAGCCTTTCTGCAGGCCCCTGTAGAACATGGAGGAGCGGCTGGCCGCTGTGTCCAAATCCCGCTTTTTACAAGGGTTTTAAAGGATGGAAGGGAAGGCAGGGCGCTCTCAGCAGGGCCGCTTGCAGGTTCCTGACATCCTGGGTCTCTGTCCTACATTTCCTCGGGGTTTTCTGGTTTGGAGGTTTGCTTTTTACCAGGGGGAGAGTGGTGACTGGGCAGAAATAGGAGTCTCCTTCCTCCCATGCCCTCCCCTCTCTTTTTCTCAACCTCCTCATTTCTGTAGAAACACGCTTGGCGCGTGGCGTGACAATAACCGCCGCTTCCAAAGTTGGTGTTGTGAAGGCGAGTGAGATGTTGTGGGAATATTTAAATCTTCTGCGCCTGAATTCAGTTTCCTTTCTGATAGGTATTTATTGCTGTGACCTTAATCCAATCCAAGAAGTTTGAGCGGCCACTCCTGAGAAAAATGGCAGCTTTTTCATGTTGAAAGGCCCTTTTCCCGTTAACTCTCACAGTATCTGTGTAAGCTTATCAGGTAAATAGCACTCCGAGTCCCTT